TCCCACAGGCACAGCTAGTATCAGTTCAGGGGCCTCCCCCAGGCTGTGAGCTCCTGGGGAGCAACAGCTGAGGCACCGCTGAGAAGAAAGCAAAGGGCTCTGTAGAGCGATGGGGAACGTTTACTATTACGTGACTGTGAGTCCCAGGTGCCCAGACAGAGGGTCTAGAGATGAGCAGATACTCAAATGGCAGCAATTATCATTAGTATCAATGTACAGCTGTGTATCCTTATTGGCACCATGTGACTACTTGCTACTGTAATTAACCCTAGAATAAATATTATTAACACATGACCACTAAGGAGATTGGGCCCAGATATTGGCCTAGAGCTGAAGGTCAAGAAGTCATGGTCCACTCAAGGCAGAAGAAGGTAACAGATAGGCCATAGATCAAGGCCCAGAGAGAAAGTGCAAGGGAAAGCAAAGGATGGGGGGTGGGCTCTAGAGCTTTGGATCCTGAACATGTTCCTCTTCCTTTGCAAAGCATGGAGCAACTTAGAAAGCAGTTTCACAGTCTTTATATGGTTTGCTGCCTACAACCTCTGTTGTGAAGCAGGTGGTACTACACCCATTTTACAAATGAGGAAACTGTTCTCACAGAAGGGAAATGATTTGCTTACAGCCATCTGGCCAAAACTAGCATCAAGGCAGCTACAACTGGCCATGTGGGGTCTGCAGCCAGAGGACATCAAGAGGCAGGAAAGAGGAGCCTAATTCTAAATTACCTCATGGCCTGAGTTGCGATAACTCTGATTGGCAATTCAGAAACCTCAGAAAGTAGTTCATGAAGAACCAACCATGCCTGTACTCTCCACCAAAAGAAAAGTCAACCACAGAAGCACTGTCTTCTAATGCCACTTATTTTAAATAAATTAATTGTATCCTTATTTTAAACCTTTGCCATATGCAGTGTCACCATTTTTACACATAAGGAAACCAATGGTCAGTGAGTTCATGGTGCCTATGGCAACCCAGAAAAGAAGAGACAGGGAGGACAATGACACCTGAAGAATACCCTCACCACTCCCGCCTCCCCTGCCTTACTCAGCAACCTCACTGAGCCCTCTGGTATGGATGAGTACCAGCTTCCAGCAAACCCAGCCCCATAATTCGTCCTTCTGTGAGTTCCATCTGATGAGGGTCTCTTGATGGGGGTCTGTGTGATGAGGAGCAGGGGTGACAGGAATAGCCAGAAAGACCAAGGCGGGACCCATTAGGGGCCTGGGTAGCTCCCTGCAGAGCACCTGCTTTCCAGAAGTATAAGGAAGAGAAGACATTCAGGAGGGCCAGCCTCAAAGCCAGTGGACTGCAGGGTCATATGGGCCCACAGTGCCAGAAACAAATGGCCCTGGCCAAGGAGACAAGGGTTCAGTTCCAGACTCTGCCACCAACCAGCTCACAACATCCCGAAGGTCACTTCAGCTTTCAGAGCACCATGTCCTAGCAAAAAGGAGAAGCACACCACCTGTCCTCCTTACCAGAGTAGGGTCGGCGGGGTAAAACAGAAGAGCATGATGTTCATTTTAAAGCAGCCCACAGTAGCCATTTTATGATAAAGACATATATCGAAGCATAATGCTACTACAAGCATATGCAACTTCCACTCATCAGCTAAAAACCAGTAAGAGGTAATGGCTAAGGTGATCTGTAATTCAACTCATGGGTTTCTAAAATCTGCTTAATTTGGTCTATAATGTTTTTTCACTCTATGAACAAACAGCAACCCTTTGACACAAAGCAGCATTCCAATGCCTACCTCCCATCAATGCCCACATAATGCCAACTTCCAGAGTTGCAGTCTGTGGAGAGCTTAAGACAGGCTCTTTGGAGCCCATTTCATTAAGCAAACAAAGCCACTGACTGCAGGTAGTGAGGGAGCAGGCACAAGCCATTTGCCTATGAAGCCAGTTGGAGCCCTGTTCCAGGCTAGGCTGGCCCAATTCCTCCTCCAGCAAGCCCTGAGGGACTGGCACAGCTAGGAACGTCACTGAGGCGCAGAGCCAGCTGACTTCGTGGTTGGGTGATCCCTAACTGCACAGCTTTCTTATTCAAAACCTACTTTTGCAGTTATTCTCACTCTAAGAATTGTGCAGCTGAATGAAAAGGAAAGCAGCCAAGGGAATAGGGTCGTAGGAAGGAAGACGCAGCTTCTGAGAAAACAGAAACTGAATATAAAAATGCAGCTCTTAGTTGAGGCGAACACTTGGGTGTGTGGTTGGCAGGAACACTTGTGACATAGAGGCCTAGAAAGAACAGGGGCCCTGCTTTTGGAGGCCCAGCACTCCTCGCGTGCTTTCTACCATCAGCAGCAAACTCCCTACATGCATGCAGCTCAGAGGCACGCGTTCCTGGACCCCTACGTGAGAAAATATCGACCCACTCCCAGCCATTGTTTATAAGTCACCAATTTATCTCACATGAAGTACAAGTTCCCACTTTTTCCTAAACACTTGTTAAGACCTGGCAGCACGGGTCCTTAGTCTGACAGGACCACTGCAGGGGAGGATGGGACCACACCTGGGCACCTGCTTTCTGGCAGCCTCCAACCTGGCCAGCTTTTCTTATTTTTAATTCAGGATGAGCATCTGCAGCATTTGAGTCTCCTCATTTCCATGAGGCATTATGGGGAAGTGTTCATTCTGAATTACTGCAGGCCAGGGGTCTGGGGCTTGGCTATAATCTGCTGGCTTTTGGAAACTTCTAGAGCACAATAGAGTAACCAGAAAACCTGGAATTGAGAAACCTCTGACTATGACCCAAGAGCATTTTATCCACTGCGTGCTAGCTAACCAACAGAAGAGTTCCCCTGGAGGGAAGGAAGAAGGAGATTCATGCAGCTTGAAATTCAAAGTCCGTTTCTTAACCTCTCCTAATGCTGAGGGTAAAGAAATAAAATAAATGAGGTGACTGCAAATAGGTAGGATTTGAAAATCAGAACTGATAAAAACAACTTAAAAGTTACAGTAGATATGTGTTCCCCAAGGACAAGACTCATACGGGGTGCCATCACCCAGTACTGCGCCCTCTACTAACACATGTACACCGTGGGGTGGAATTTACATTGGTGAGATTCTCCGCTTACGAGCACTTGCATTATAGGACGAGAGTATATTCCCAGCTGAAAAACAAGGCACTGTCTCTACAAGGACATTGCCAGAGTCAGCTGTCTTATACCAAGGTAGCCCCAATGGAAAATTAATTTTTAATGCCTAAGCAAATGTACACACCAACTAGTGTGGTGCTAAAAATTCTCTACTAGGAACATTCCTTAAAGTTGACACATATTTCCAAACCCTAAAAAGTGAAGATGCTACCTGTACATGTGTAATCACACTTTGTGCCTTCATATTTTAAATTAGCTCAGTGTGATAGAATGAAATATGAAAAAGAAAATCAAATGGATGAAAGAGCCTAAGACCCCCAGCAATCAAGAAGATTGGAGTAAGGGAATCCAACAATTGGGAGATGAAGCACAAAGAATACAGTAAAGAGTAGTATCTGTGGGGCCGGGGAGATGGCTCAATGGAATAAGCGCCTCCCTGGCAAGCGCAAGGGCCTGAGTTCAATCCCCAGTTCCACCAATCTGCTTGAGCCCGCTCTACTTCTTCTTTTTTTTTAAATTTATTTAGTGTGTGTGTGTGTGGCCAGCTCAGCCCACCAGGGGGCGCGGCTGGCTGGCATATGGTGCTGGGGGATTGAACCGCGGTCCCTGCACTTTGCCAAGCTTGTTCCAAGTAGGTGCTTTAGACCACTGAGCCATCTCACCAGCCCCAACCCGCTCTACTTCTGAAAGTACCTAAATAGGTACCTTCCTGCCTGGCATCTGTCATGCCTGTCATGGGGATATTAGAGAATAAGCTTCAGGCCAGTACAATGATAAATACCAGGTACGAACCTTGTGGATCACAAAAGAGATGGCTCTAACTGCAGTTTAAAAGAGAGCGAGGAAACAGTTTAGGGAGCAACTATAATGTCTTTATCCGAGACAAAATGCCCCAGTTCATTTCCATCATCCCTATAAGCATACACACAAATGCAATAGATCACTCCAAAAAGTAATATTTTTTCTAGAAGTAGAATTAAAAGGTCCCATCATTGCAGCCTTTTATGAGATGGTGTGTGTAGCCAAGTGCAAGTCAAGTCATTTCCTGAGAGAAATGCCCACATTTCATATTCAGATTGCTATGAACTTGCATAGAGTATTACTGTACTGGCAGCATCTTCGTCTCCTAGGAAGCAAATCGGGTGCCTTCCATGAAGATTGCCTGAGAAGACTATAAAACATTTCTCTTCTTGTTATTCATCAGGGGAGGAGAAAAATAGAATCCGAGTTCAGATAATGACTCTTACCCAGAGGACAAAGCAGTCAAAAGCACATTTTAATATGAAATTGTGTTCTCTAGTTTTTATACGCAAAGTCAGTTGTGCTAGAAAACCTAATGTGAATAGATTTATATATTGACTTAAAATACAAAGGAAAACATACAGAATGCCTTATTACAGCAATCACTGACTAAAAACAGCAGAATGAAAACAACATAGATTGGGTCACAATGCTGCACAAAAACAGCACTTTCATTTTACCAAAAATAAAAGACATCTCAAAAATATCCAAAGACCACTGGGTGTGGTGATGCACACCGGTAATCCCTGCACTCAGGAGGCTGAGGAAGGAAGATCACTGAATGTTCAAGGTCAGCCTGAGCTACACAAGCAAGATCAAGGCCAGCCTATACTACATAGCAGGATGCTGCCTCAGAGAAAAAAGCTAAAGACCTAAAGAGAGTGTCACAGAACCCAGAACCAGCTTAATTATTTGGGGTCTCTTGTCTTGGCCAGTGTTTTGCTCTGCCCAGGCATCTGTAACCCCACAGCAAGTTCTTCTGGACTCCTCAGTGTTACATACTTTCTGCCCACCTCCCCCAGCAAACATGTAGTAACAGGGAGCTCAGGAGCTAGAGCTGCCGGGAAAGATCGTTAGAGATGAAGAGGCACCTTACCACTTCTGGTAGCAGCCTGGTTGAGAGGTCATGGATGGCCTTGACCACTATACATATGGATGACAGAAGGAATATCACCCCCAGGATGACACAGGCTCTGCAAAACACAAAACATTGATAGTCTTAACTGAGAGAACTCCGCACTGCTGAAGACTTGGCACGGGCGGCTATTACGAAGTCACAACTGGGAAATTGAATTCACATTCCCACACCCCTCGGGTAAGCACCCGCGGTCCCACAACTGATACAGTGCCAACTCTAGGAGTACACAGTCCAGGGTTCTATCACCACAGGCAACGTCAGGTGAAAGGGGCCCACCATCTGGCATCATCTAGCAGCGTGCCACAAATGTAGGAAGGGTCTTCCAGGCCACAAAACTCATCTCCCTTCTCTGGCAAACAGGAAGCTTCCTTCCACAGAGTGCAGGGTAAAAAGTATAACAGCAAAATTGTAGATACTCTGGCATCAGACATGCCAAGCTCTGTCACCTAGCTTGTTACAAGATCTTGGCCAGGAACTCCGTCTCTTTTACCTTTCATTTGCTTGCCTTTCAGAGAGGAATAAAATTTCCTACCTGAGGATAAAAGGAAACAATGCACAAAGTGTAGTAAAGTAACTCATTAACGTTAGTGTAGATAAAGGAAATCTATTCTGGGTGCCTCTTTCAGATAAGATGAGAGAGATATCTTTGGATTTTCTGAATGGCAAAAGAAAGGAAGAATTTGGCAAGTGTTAATGGTAAAACTGGACAGTCTTAATCTAAAAAGAAAAGAAAAGAAAAGAAATACAGAAATGAAGGGAGGAGAGGAAGAATGAGACCAAAAGAGGCACCAGAGGAGGAGGCAGGAGCAAGTCAGGGGCACAGAACAGGGTGCTGCTACAGGGCACACCGGGGCACATGGGGAGAGCTGCAGGACTTGCAACAGAAAAGCACCTGACAACACAGGTGCAGCAAAGGTTTTGAAAAAGAAAATGAAAATAAACATGATGAAATGATACTACTCATGCAAACGCGGGGGAGGGACAGAATGAATGAATTCCCATCCCAACTTCATGCACCACTATTTCACAGCCTCCTCTACTGTCTTCCCCCAGTTATAGCAAATAAAAGCATTTATCTTATCCACCTTGGATTCTTTTTCTCCAGAATAACAGCATGGTCCCAAGCTGCTCACCTAACTTTGAGGTGGCATTTACTTATAATCCCAATAAACCTATGGACAGACCTATTCCTCCAGGTGTAGAAGTCAGGACTACAGAGAGGTAAAGGACTACAAGGCTGCCTGGGGTCTGCCTGGTAGGCTTCTCACTCACACTCTAGGTTTATTCTTCAAAGATAGCAGGACAGAATCATTACACGTTAGAGCAAATCACAAAAAGAACATAGAGATGGAGGGAGAAGTAACAAACGGGCTGGGGATCTTACTGGAAACTTGATCTCAGGAGGAGCTGCCATGGGTGCCTGGCCTCCTCATAATGAGCCCCCAGGGTGAAACACACACACACACTCAAGGGGGAGGAAAGAGAATGGAGGCAGTAAATCTACATTGATTCCGCTGACTAGTTAACATAAGATGGTGCACCTCGGACTGGTGCTTGGGCCAATTGAGGCAATGGGGATCCCTGGAAGAGCAAAGTGCCCCCACTGGAGGGCTCTTGGGTAACCAGGGACTGGAGTAACAGCAGAAACCACAAGAGCCTGCAAATCAATGCTCTCAAAGCCCTGGTAACTGGCTCATAACTACTAAGTTCCCCATCGAAAGGCCTGCTATGTTCAGCACTTGGAGGAACCATTTCTACCTATGAGCAAGTGGGCTGTGAGAAGTTCCAGCACAGGAAGAGAGGCTAAAGTTAAAGAGATCTCGAAGACAAGTTGTGCAATGTTTCCCAGTCCCTGCAGCATACTGCACTCACCTGGGGAAGGTGGGATGTTTGTGGTTTTACTTGTTGCTTTTTTAATGTTGCTCAAGGACTACTCTAACTCAGTTTATCAGAATCTCCCATCCAAGTACTAACCAGGCCCAACCCTGCTTAGCTTCCAAGATAAAACAAAATAGTTAGGAGAGATATACAGCTATTTTCTCTTAATTCAATGAGAAGAAAGATTTGTACTAATAGTGTTTGGACAGGATATCATGTCTGCATCTTGTACTATGAATAACAACTATGAAGCCAACAATATGCGATGTATTAATTATTGAAACTGTCCTACTAATCGGTTTTGAAACTGTCTCATTACTATTTCTTTCTCAATAAAATTAATTTTTAAAAGTCATTCATTTTTGGTCTTTTT